TCCCAGAAGGCCCTTGAGGGGCTGGAGCGTGGCCAGAGAAGGGCAACGGAGCTGCTGGGGAAGGGTCTAGAGCCCTCCCTGGTTTTGGGGCTCCATGGCCAACACCCACCAGCATAAATGTGTTGAGATGATGGGGGCAGTGCACAGGACAGGGTCGTCCTCCAGCTTGTCCCCACAGCGTTGTCCCCCCGTGGCCTTTCCCCAGGTGACACAGCAGCCCCCATGCACCGTGACACACATCACGGGGTCTGGCCTCGTCTCTTTATTCTCCATGACAGCAAAGCACGGTGGGGTCCAAGCCCCCCAGGGCCAAAGCAGGACCCTCACCCATAGCTAAGGAAGCACCCCTGGGGCAGGATGTCCTCCTGTGCCTTCTCCCTCCAGCGTGGACGCGCTCCTGCTCCCGGCCACCGAGCAAAGTCCTCGGGGCACCGAGCCAGAGCTGACAGGGGTTTGTGTCCTCGCCGGTTCTGGAGCCAGCCCTGACAGACCAACCACCTCCAGCACACGAGGAGACGGGAAACACGTCCCAGTGCAAACCTGCTGTGTGCCTGACCCACGGACAGATGGAGGGACGGACAGTTCAACAGGCACCTCCTCCCGCAGCCACGGAGTCCCCGGCGTCCCTCTCCACAACCTCCCCCTTCTCCAGCAAAGCCCCTCGGCTCCTCTTAGGGACCCGGGCTCTGGAACGTCCCCACAGAGGGCCCGGCTGGCCGAGGTGGTGCCGTGGGGATGGAGGCACCTCAGTACCAGGGGTCCACCCGGTGCTGCTGGTTGTAGAGCTGGAGCTTGATCTGGTCCCTGATCTGGTTGATGAGGATCTGAGCCAGCAGGATGCCCACCAGCTGCAGGAGAGGGAGGGGAGAAGGAAGACAGGGAGGGAGATGAGGAAGGAAGGAAGATAAAGAAAAGAGGAAGATGAGGAGGAGAAGGAAGACGGGAAGGAAGGAAGATGAGGAAGAGAAAGAAAACAGGAAGGAAGATGAGGAAGAGAAGACAGGAAGGAAGATGAGGAAGAGAAAGAAGACAGGAAGGAAGATGAGGAAGGAAGGAAGGAAAGGCAGGAAGGAAGATGAGGAAGAGAAAGAAGACAGGAAGGAAGATGAGGAAGAGAAGACAGGAAGGAAGATGAGGAAGAGAAAGAAGACAGGAAGGATATGAGGAAGAGAAAGAAAACAGGAAGGAAGATGAGGAGGAGAAGACAGGAAGGAAGATGAGGAAGAGAAGACAGGAAGGAAGATGAGGAAGGAAGGAAGATGAGGAAGACAGGAAGATAAGGAAGAAGGGAAGGAAGATGAGGAGGAGAAGGAAGACAGGAAGAGGGTGCTGAGGGCCGCTGGGCTGCACCACCCCACTCTCCTAGGAGCGGCGAGGCCACACCCGCTGCTCCTCCCAGCCCAAATCCTGCCCCAGGGGCTGCGCTTCAGACACACGGTTAAAGCAGCTCCCCGGGGACCCCGAGCGGCAGGGGGCACCCCGGTGTACCTGGGGGACTGCCAGCCCCAGGGCGATGCCCCCCAGCAGGAAGAGGTTGCTGTGGATCCAGTTGACCAGCTTGTCGATGCAGCCGTTGGTGTAGATGAAGGCGCTGGCCTCCAGGTAGCCCATGGCCTGCATGCCCTGCCCGCACATGGTGTTGATGACAACCTGCGAGGGGGACA